CATTATTACTATATTTTGCCAATCATAAATTTTCACTTTCTGAACATTACAGTATATACATGTACAGAAACATCACATAGTACTCTAGAAATGTCTCTTTTTTTTTTCGTACCGGGGATCAATCTCAGGACCTTGCACTTGTGAGGCAAGTGGTAGAACCAATGAGCTAAATCCCTGGCCCAAATAGGTCTAATTTTTATGTGTCAAAAACAAGAAAAGAAGTCAGGCATGGTGGAGCATGCCTGTAATCCCAGCACTCGGGAGGCTGAAGCAGGAGGATCACTGTGAGTTCAAGACCAGCCTGGGCTGCATAGTGAGTTCCAGGTCAGTCTCAACCACACAGTGAGACCCTGTCTCAAAAAAACAAAAAAAACAAAAAAAGAAAAAGAAAAGAAAAGAAACACTTCAGAGCCAGATGTGATGGTGCACACCTCAGCACCCAGGAGGCTGAGGCAGGAAAATTGCCACGAGTTTGAGGCCAGCCTGGACTACATAGTGAGTTCAAGGCCAACCTAAATTACAGAGCTAGAGCCAGATCCTTTCTCAAAAAAAAGAAACATGGCACTGGGGATGTAGCTCAGTGGTTCTGCTGCCTCCCTCGCCAAGCACAAGGTCCCGAGTTGGATCCCTGTACAAAACAAAACAAAAAAAAACCACACACTTCAACTTTTACTTTTGTAATAGTGCTCACCTCTGTTCATTCCCATTTTCTCTTATTGTCAAGTATTTGTTTTCCCAACTATAGTTTAGGGTCCCAGAGAACAAGGATTGTGTGTTAAAATGCTGTAGGCCGGAGGACCACCCCAATATTGATCCTCCAGGTCTACTGAAGAGATTCATTTCCCTCAAGGAGAGCAGGGAGGAAGAAGGACCCCTGGGATGGTCACAGGGGAAGGGGCCACGCAGCAGACTGTTCACGGACTCATTTCTCATTTTTGTCCCCAGAGCTCTCTTGATCCTACAACTCCAGACAATGCAGACGTGGTAAGAAACTTTAAAGAAAATCTTCATATAGATCTCTGTTACATTTAAAGACTCTTATTTCTAAATATCAAATATATGGGTAAAATGTCCCATCCAAATACTATTTTCCGATTCTCTGTGACTTAATCTCGTGTCTCAGGTCCCTGAAGTTGGCCTCCCACCCTGGAGAATACGTGACCCTTGTCACGGCCAGGGTTGGGTCTGGGGAGCAAGTACATTTCAGGGGTCCTCACTTCTGGGGCCCCCTTGAAGGCCTTACGAGGGGTCCTAGCAATGGATTCACTTGGTCTTATATTTTTATACAACTGGCAAAAATAGCATATTTAAACCACAATCACTTAAAACCTGTGCCTCTTTTCATTCTGACTTCCCTCTGCCAGGTTCCCAATATTGTGAGGTATTAGAGTGGCCATGTGCAGTTTGGCTCATAATTTTATAAGCTGCCTTGGGAGTTGAATATGACCTGAACATTTTGTGTATAAACTTCAACTTCATTCCTCTGGCTGTATGCAGTTGATGCGGGAATCTAAGAGTATAGATGCTTGGGCTTCGCCAAGAGATTTTTCAGCCACTCCTGCTTTCACCACTCCCACCAGCACCGTAACTCCCAGAGATCCTGGAGCTGCCATTTTCTTGCATTTTAGGGAATTTGCAGTCTAAATTAGGTGGCTACGAGGCTGAGTTCAGATCTGTTAGGTAAAGAATGGCAACCCGATTTAAAAAAAAAAACACAGCCAGTTTGAATTTATGGTCCCGAGCACGACCTCCGTGGAATAACTCCAACGGTGAGTCTGAGTCAGATGTATTATGCTGGGTTTTATATGGTTAGGATTACAGGGTGGGAGTGGGACTAGTGAAGCAAGAATAGCTGGGCAGCAACAGCCATGACAAAGGCTGGCATAGATAAGCTAGTGTTTTGTTGTTCCAGGCACACTGTGATCTGGCAGTGCAGGTGGTGCAACGGGGTGGGGAGTTATTGTTTTGGGGCTCAGGTGGCTGAGAACAGCTAGTCTGGGAACTTGAGTGGCTGAGGGCAAACAGGGGTCAGACCTATTGCTGACTTTCTTTGTACATTTGTTTATGTTTGAGATGGGGGTCTCGGTATCTTGTCCAGGTCCTTATTTTAAAATTTTATTTGCTTTTTTGAGAGAGTCTCACTATGTAGTTCAGGCTGGCCTTGAACTCACTGTGTAGTCCAGGCTGGCTTCAAACTTACAGCAGTCCTCCTGCCTCGGCCTCCCAAGTACTGGGGCTATAGGTGTGCACCACCATGTCTGGCCACTCAGGTCCTTCATGAACCCATGGGCTCAAGCGATCCTCCTGCCTCAGCTTCCCGATTAGCTGAGACTATAGGTGTCCTATGTTTTGGGACCCACTTATTCAGTTAGCCATCTTCTTTCCAGCTTTAAAATTGTGTTGCTTCTGTGCCTACTTCAGCAGCACATATACTAAAGTTGGAATAATACAGAGAAGATTAGCATGGCCAGGGTGACACCCAAATTTGTGAAGTGTGCCATAGTTTGTGGTTGGTTTTTTTTTTAAGTGTTATTTTTGTCCCCACTTTTATTCTCTCTATCCTTATGATTTTATAAGCTTTAAATTTTATTTTCTGTCATTTTAATGAGCCTTCAGGAGGGAATGAATTAAAGGCATGTGTTCATTCTGTCACCTATGATTTCCAACTAGTTATTGCTGGTCTGCTGTCATTTGGATTTTGAATGTCCTCTAAGTCGTGCTGTTGAAGGTTTTGTCCCAGCTGGGTGCTGTTGGAAGAGGGTGGAGAACTTAAGAGGTGTATCTAGTGGACAGTCTTCTGGTCATCAGGGACACCCCTGTGGAAGAGACACTGGGTCCTGGTCCCTTCGTCTCCTGTATTTTTTTTATACCTGACCATGAGGTGGGCAGCTTTGTTTTACCTCATGTTCCTGCCTTGATGTGTGACCGCAGGTCCAAAGCCATAGTGCCAGGCAGTCATAATTGGACCCCTAAACACTGTAAGCCAAGGCAAACCCTTTCTCTCTGTAAGCTGGTTACCTCGGGTATTTGTTACAGTAGTAGAAGGCTGACGCACACAGTCCCTGGCTGGATTGGTATTAGATCCTTAGCTGCAGCAAAGAAACTGGAAAGATGTCAAGTTTCAAAAAAATGGCAGGAGACAAGGGAGGTAGGCAGTAAAAATGCTGTAGCCAGAGGACACCAAGACCACACTGCCAGGTGCCATCACCCTCACCGTACAAAGGCACCATAGCTGATGCCCAGCTTTTCATGATGATTCTGCCAAGCTCCAGACATGGCCATCTCCACTGGGGATGGCTTCTCGTCCTGCATCACAGTGGCTCTCTGGGTCCCTCCCTCAAGATTCGAAGCCATAGGCAATAGTCTGCAACTGGCTGAGTCTACATCATGCACCAGCCCTTATCTCCAAGGGACAGGAAGAAGAAATGTGTGGCCCCTCAGTTCCTTAGAAAGAGAGAGCTTCAAGTCTTCACGAGAGTCTTCTCAAAATGGAAGAAGTGTTTAGGGCTGGGTAGCCGAAAAGGTAACAAATGTCCACCACACTGATCCACAGGAAAGTTGTTGATGTTTGTGGATTTGTCTTGTATCTGGCCCCTGGGGCCAAGATTAGAGCACAGGGACAGACTTTTTAAAGGTAGTCCTAGGGTCACGTGACTGTGGAGTTGGCACCTAAGGACGAGTTTTCCTCCTTTAGCTTTGCCTTCTTCATTCTCTCACCCTAGTCCTGGTACCACTGACCCTGTTTTCCCCCCAGTACCAGGGATTGGACCCAGGGCCTTCATGGTAAGCTACATCCCCAGCCCTTTTTAAATTTTTTTTCATTTTTAGACAGGGTTTTGCTAAGTCACTAAGTTGCCCAGGCTTGGCTTGAACTTGTGATCCTCCCGCCTCAGCCTCCCCTCTAGCTGGGATTGCAAGTGTATGTGCTTTTAGTGGCCTCTTCGCTGAACTTAGTTATTGGTTCTAATGGTTTTCCAGTTGATAATCTTGGACTTTCTAGATAAATACTTGTAACTATAAATACTGCTAACTTTTCCTCTTTCAAACATTTATTCCTTGTATCTATTGTTCTTGCCTTTTTAAATTTTCTAGGATCTCTAATAAAATGTTAAATAGTAGCAGACTAATGGGGCATCTGTCACAGTGACTGCTTAAATGTGAGACTTGCTAGCTCCTTTATCAGGTTAAGTATGTGTCACTCTGGACTTGGGTTTGCTATGAGTCTTGTTTTGTTTAAATCAGACAGATACTGACTTTTATCAAATCTTTCCCCTAATCTTTTTTAAAAATAAATTTTGGATATATGACGTTATAGATAGTGAGAAAGGTTAGTAGAGTGAGGCAAATGAACATATCCGCCATCTCACAGTTACCCTTGTTTGGTTTATATAAAAGCAGTAAAATTGCCTTAGCAGGCCTTCCGTGTGCAGTGGTTTCCTTACCTAAGTCTTCATGTACCTTCGTACTCCAGGCTTGTGCCTCCTGCATACCTGCTGCATATCTGACTGTGTCCCTCCTCTCCCTCCCTACCTCGTGCCCCAGCATGACTGTAATCACTGTTGTTTCTGTTTCTGAATGTTTGGTGTTTTTAAAAAATCCCACATGTGAGTGAGGTCCTTTGGTGCGGTTCTAGGGTGTTTTGAGCGCCCCCCCAGAGGGTCTATTGTGATTGGAGGCCTGGTGCTGGGGCTCGGGGTTGGGAGCAGCTGTGGAACCTTTAAGAGGTGGAGCCTGGTGGGAGGCCTGGCCTGCTCTCCCATCGTCCTCCTCCTATCTGCTCCTGGTTCTAGAGGTCATCACTTGCTTCCACTCACTCTCCTCTTACCGTGAGGTGATGTCGCTGAGGGAAAGGCCTTGTCACAGACCCTGAGCTGTGTTATTTGCATTTTCAGCCTCCAGAACTGTGAGCTGAATAAACTTCTTTTCTTCATAAGGAGCTTGTTATCAGGTAGTTTGTAATAGTGGTGGAAAGCTGATTAATACATCACATCACACAATATTTTTCTGAAACTGGCTTAGTTCATTTAACATAAGGTCCTTTAGGCTCATTCATGCTGTGGCAGACAACAAGATCTCATTCTTTTTAAGGGCTAGGATATGGCACTGTAGATATATGCACCCCAGTTTCTTTACCGAGTTGTCTGTTCACAGACTTTTGGGTTGTTTACATATCCTGGCTGTTGTGAAGACTGCTACAATAAATATGAGTGTGTAGGTGTCTTTAGGAGGAGGTGATTTAATTTCCTTTGGGTATATGCCCAGAAGTGGGATTGCTGGGTCACATGGCAGTTCTCTCTTTCTCCGTCGAGACTTGTTATTATGTATGACCTTGGTTATCCCTGATTATCAAAGACTGTTTTAGCTGTAACTTTTCTTTTTTTTTGATAGTGGGAATCCAACTCAGGACCTTGCACTTGCCAGGCACGCACAGCACCACTGAGCTAAATCTGGGGCCCATGCTATCCTTCATTTCTTTAGAAATCTACATTCTGGGCCAGGGATTTAACTCAGTGGTTCTGTGCCTGCCTGGCAAGTGCAGGGTCCCAAGTTAGATCCCTGGTAGGAAGGAAAGAAAGAAATCTACATACTGTTTTGAATAATGGTTGGACCATCTCTCATCTTTCAAGATGACTTTTTCTCCTTTAATCTGCTAATGAAATGATTTGCATTGGTAGATTTTCTAGCTGAGGGTTGGTGGCCATGCCTATAATCCAAGCTAGAGGGGAGGCTGAGTTCAAGTTCAAATTGCAAGTTCAAAGCCTTGAGGCTTCATCTCAAAAAACTGGTGAGGGATGTAGCTCAGTAGTAGTCCCCTGGATTTAATCCCCAATACTGAAAAAGATAAAAATAAAAAAGATTTTCTGGTGTTGAAACATTCGTCTTTCCATGCCTAGATGGTCATAATTCATTTGATGATGATTATACTATCAATTTGTTTGGCTAACATTAAAATCCTAAATAAAATAATAGCCAAGAAAATTAATCATTTTATGTTTATTGATTGATAGCTCTGTGTTCATGGGTTAATTTGAAGTTTAATTTGAGATTGCCTTTTAGCTTTTTTGTATGGATTGTTCCCTAATCAGCTTTGGAATACTGTATGCTAGTTTTGTAAAGTTGAATATCTTTCCTTTTCTCTTTAGGTCTGAATAATTTTTTATGTTTTCCATTTTTTTCAAGGGTGATTAGTCCATAATTTTTAAAATTTTGAGTCCATTTCAGTAGTAATTTAATTTAGACATTCTAGTTTATTAGTATATATGTGTATAAATGTTTCTCCTATATTATAAAATTTAAAAATCTCCTGTCTCTTATATCTCTTATTCCTAATGTTACTTATTTGTGCCTTTTTCTTTCTTTCTTTCCTTCTTTTCCTCCCTCCCTTCTGAGCTGAGGGTAGGACCCAGGGCCTCATGCATGCCAGGAAAGGATTTTATCACCAAGCTGCCCCCAGCCCTTTATTGTTCTTTAAGTCTCTGTAAAAACCATGTGATGGTATCTCTGTCATTCCAGGTTTTTGTTTTGTTTTGGTACCGGGGATTGAATTTGGGACCTTGCAACTGAGAGGCAGGAGGTGGCACAAATGAGCTAAATCCCTGGCCCTCTCTCATTCCAGATAATTTGTATCTTCTCTTTTCCTTAATCAGCTTGGCCAGAAGTTTGTCGATTTTTTTTTTAAGGTTTTTTTTTTTTTTTTTTTTTTTTTTTTTTTTTTTTTTGGTTTTTTTGAGACAGGGTCTTACCATGTAATTCAAGCTGGCCTCAAAACTCAAAGTGAGCTGGATTTATGGGCCTGTGCCACCACACCTAGCTGTCAATTTTATTAGCTTCTCAAAGAGCAGACTTTTGGTTTCATAAATTTTTCTGTATTATTTATTCTTGTGCTATCTAATAGATTTCCAGTTGATTTTTAAGGTAAGCTTCTTAAGATAGAAGCTCAGATCACTGATTTGAGATATTCTTTTGTTGTTTGTTTGTTTGGTTGGTTGATTTTTTTTGTTTGTTTGTTTTTTGAGACAGGTAGTTGAAACTGACCTGGAACTCACTATGTAGCCCAGGCTGGTCTCGAACTCACAGTGATCCTCCTGCCTCCGCCTCCAGAGTGCTGGGATTACAGGCGTGTGCCACCACACCTGGCCTCTTGAGATACTCTTTTCTGATATAAGCATTTAGTTTCTAAGGCCAGCCTTCCTATCTGCAGATTACACACTTGCAAAGTTAGGTCAAACTCAGGTCAAAATTTGAAGGAAATTGCATCTCTACTGAATATGTACAGACTTTTTCTGTCATTTACTTTGTATTAGATATGATAAGTACTCTAGGGATAATTGTAAAAGTACAGGGGAGGATCTGTGTAGGTTATATGTAAATACTATGTCTTTTTATATAAGGGACTTGAGCACCCAGAAACTTGGATAGCCAAAGGAGTCCTGGTACCACCATCTCACAGATATTGAGGGACAGCCGCACTGCTTTAGCTGTGTCCTTTAAACCTGGTATCTTCTCATTTTCAGTCAATTCAAAGTACTTCTTAGTTTGCTTTTTTATTTCTTCTTTGACCAAATGATTATTTAGTGTGCATTTTTTGGAGATGTTGCAGATATCATTCTTTTACTGGCTTCACATTTAATTCTGTTATGATCAGAGAACATACTTCATGTTATTTGAAACTTTAAATTTATTGAGACATGTTTTACCCCCAGATTATAGTATATCTTGGTAGCACCCTTGAAAAGAATATGTAGTCTGCAGTTATTAAGCAAGTTATTCAATGTCCATGTCCTCACTCACTTTTTATTTATTCTATCAGTTAATTGAAAGAGGACTCTAAGACTGTAGGTTTATCTATTTCCTTTTTCACTTGTATGAGTTTTGCTTCATGTATTTTGACGTGATGTTATCTTTTCTTGTGACCATTTTATCATTACTCGATTTTTGTCCCTGGTAATATTCTTTTTCAGATTGAAAATGCTGTCTTTTTATTAGTTTTAGTGATGTGTATCTTTTTTTGTGCTTTTACATTTCATATATTTGTGTCTTTATTTGGAAACTGTTTCTTTTTCATAGCATATAATTGGGCTTTCTCTTTCTATACAGTCTGACAATCTCTGCCTTTTAATTATGGGTTTAGGCCATTTACTTTTTTTTTTTTTTTTTTTTTTTTTTTTTTGTACTGGGGATTGAACTTGGGACCTTGCACTTTTGAGGCAGGCAGCAGAACCACTGAGCTAAATCCCCAGCCCATAGGCCGTATACATTTAAAGTGACTATTGATAGGTCAGAGTTCTAATCTACTTTCTTACTATTTATTTGCTTTTTGTCCCATCTGCCTTTTTTTGTCTTCTTTTAGAAGGAGTATTTTTTCCCCAAAGGAGTATTTTAAATGATTCTGTGTTATCTTCTTTGTTGGCTTATTGACTGTGCCTTTTTCTTATTTTAGGATGTGAATGTTTGTTTTAAAAGTGACTTTAAATTGAGCCTTCCATTTCACATAATGAAGATCAAACCACCTAAACCAATCACTGGTAAATACGATATAGCTAATATTCTCTTTCCCTTTGGCATTGATTTCTCCATTTTTTTCTTTAACTTTCTTCCACAATTTCCTATTTTTCTGCTTATTAGCAGCAATATCTAATTAAATGCGTAGTTTTGTTGCTTTTGTTCACACCCCCCCATAAGGGGGATGGAACTCAGGACCTTGCACTTACGAGGCAAGCGTGGTGCCACTGAGCTACATCCCCAGCCCTTAAATATATAGTTTTGAAAAGGACATTTTTTAAGGCTCATAATCTCTGGGATCTAAAAACAACAACAACAACAACAAAAGAACCCAAATATTACAGAGAGTCAGTTAACAGAATCAGAAGGTCAGGAAAGGGAGACATCACTTCTGATTGCTGGGTGGAATCATTCCTACACCCCTGGGTAATTCACTCATCAGTGTTTTCCAAGTGCCCATTGCAGATACCCATCTCCTTGAAACTGATGGTGTCCGGGGGAGAATGGAAGGAAGCCACCACAGTAGGTAACGGTGCTTAAGAACAGTAGCAGGAATGTCTAGGACCAGGCAAACAGAGTAAGAGTGGTCAACTGCCCTGCCAGGCCAAGGCTTTATGAGAGGAAGGGACGTGTGGGCAGGGTTCGGAAGGGCAAGTGGGGGCTGGTTAAGAGGAGCAGAGATCAAGAGTCATTACACGCAGGGAAAACAGTGCACCCTCTCAGCACTCACAAGTCCTCCCAAGACACCTACAGGGATGCTCACTGTGGCATCATTTACAGAAGAGACAGACTGTAAGGTCAAATCTGCTACACTTATACAGAAGAATACTCTGCAACCATTAAAAAACAAGGAGTGAGGCCAGGCGTGGTGGCACAGTTACCTGAGTGGCTGAGGCAGGAGGACTGCAAGTTTGAACCCAGCCTGTGCAACTTAGTGAGACTCTGGCTCAAAACAAAAATGTAGATCAGTGGTAGAGCAAGCTAACAAATGAAAAAGGGGGAATGAGACAGACAAAGAATAGCCGGTTCACTTTTGTAAACAAATGTGGTGAGGGGAATTGGTCTATCAAGATTTATTCTAAAGTTATAGTAACTAAGAAAAGATGAATACAAAATAAAAATATAGATTAAAGCTGGGCATGGTGGTGCAGGCCTGTAATCCCAGCACTTGGGAGGCTGAGGCAGGAGGATCACTGTGAGTTTGAGACCAGCCTGGGCTACATAGTGAGTTCCAGGTCAGTCTCAACTACATAGTGAGAACCTGTCTCAAAGAAAACAAAAAAAAAAATCTATTTATTTATCTACCTGTCTATCCAACTGTCTATCTATCTATATAGATAGAGAGAGAAAGATTAAATATAGAAATATAGATAGGTTATAATAGTAGAAAAATAGATGCATGAAGCAGGATAGAAAGGTCAGAACATAGATAAACAGACCCCAGCATAAGTGGAAATTTGTGATGTAAGGGAGGCAGCGCTACAGAGAAGGGGAGAGGGCTGAGGATGTAGCTCAGTGGCACCACACCTGCCTGGTAAACACAAGGTCCTGAGTTTAGTTCCCAGTACCAGAAAAAGGGGGAGCGGCAGCCACTGTAATCAGTGGTGCTGGTTCTCCATATCCTCACCAACACTTAGTATGGTGAGTCTTTTAAATTTTAGCCATGGGGGGGTGTGTAGTGGTATCTCACTATGACTTTAATTTACAGTTTCCTTGATGACTAATGATATTGAGCATCTTTCCATGTGTTTATTGGCCATTTGAAAGATCTCTCCTTGTGAACAGCCTGTATAATGTTCTTGCCTGTTTTATACTGGATTACTTAAGGAATAAAAAGTTCTCAATCATTTATAGGAATTCTTGATATATTCTAATTATGGACCGTTAGTAAATTTTATGTATTTTGCCAACATCTTTTCCCATTATGTGGCTTGGTCGTTCATGCTTTTAGGGATGTGTCTGGTGATTAGAAGCTCTTAATTTTTAATGTAGTCAAATTTTTCTTTTATTGAAAGTTATTTCTGTGTCTTGCAAAAAGTCTTTCCCTATCTAGAGGTCGTAAAGATATTGCTTATCTTATTTTTAAGAGCTTTATTATTTTGCCTTTCATATTTGCCTCTCCAGTTCATTTGGAATTCAGGCTTGTGTGTGGTGTGTGGTGGGGATGGAGGCATGGGAGGAGAGAGGGCAGCTGCTTGCTCGGGGGCTCTGTGAGCCAGAGGTCTGGGACTATACACCCAGGTCCCAAACGGACTGCAGAAAAAGAATGGACTTCTAGGGATGAGGCTTCTGCGAGGGAAGTGAGAAGCTTGAAGGGAAAGGCAGGAAGTCAAGAAAAGGGGGACAGCCAGATGCTCTGACTAATTCTGGAATATTCTCAATCAAGGAACCACATTTAAAAGCCCCCTGGAAGTCTTTGCAAAAGTAGAAGACTGTTCCGGGCTGGGCTCCGGGCAGAACCACTTCATCAGGGACAGCCAGTGGGAGCGGCACACGGAGCTCTTCCACGCCTCTTACAAGAAGCACCTGGACAGGGAGGCGGGGGAGGAGCCGCTCAGGTGAGCCTCGGAGAACGGGAGCCCCCAGCACATGCAGGAATTAACCCAGAGACCTGGGTCAGGCCTGGGTCTGGAAGCTCGGGTTTGGGGAAATTTTTAGAGAACTTCAGCAGTCCCCCCCCCCAGTACTGGGACTTGAACTCAGGACCTTACACTCGCCAGACAGGCAGTGCTGCTGAGCTACATTCCTGGTCCAGATTTTTAAAAAATATTGTGTGAAGACTGTTTAAATACAAAACATGAATTACCCAGGCGTGGTGGCACATGCTTGTAATCTTAGCACTCGGGAGGCTGAGGCAGGAGGATCACTGTGAGTTCGAGACCAGCCTGGGCTACATAGTGAGTTCCAGGTCAGTCTCAACTACATAGTGAGACCCTGTCTCAAAAAAACAAAAAACAAAAAAACAAAAAAACAACAACCATGAATTAAAAAGAAGGAATAGCTAGGGGTGCAGCTCAGTGTAGAGCACTTGCCTAGCATGTATGAGGTCCTGGGTTTGATTCCCACTACCAGAAAAGAAAAATAATATATAACTATGGAAGTGAGAAATAGAATTTATTTTACAGTTTTATGTATGACATCTCTCTCAAATTTTTTCCATGATTTTCTAAACAACAGAAGATCCTAAAAGTGGAAATAAAGATCACCACTATTAACATTTTTCTCAATTTCCTTTTGTCCTTCTAAATGGAACAGATGATAGGTGTACAATTAGTATAATATATCACCACTTTTTTCAATATCAGGATCAAACACAGGGCCTTGTACGTGTTAGGCAAGCGCTGTATCATGCAGTCACACATTTGCCCCTTTCTATTTTATTCTTAGAATCATGCTAAGTTGCCCAGGCTGGCCTTGAACTTGCAGTCCTTTTGCCCCACCCTCACAGCTGGGATTACCGACAAGACTTCTCATGTATTGTAACTCATTCCGCAGTTAGGCCTCAGTAACCCACACCATGTGGGTGAAAACCATGTCCAGTCTTGGAAGTATGTGTGGCGGAACTGGTTTTCCGTATGTGCTCTCCTCACAGCTGCTGTGGGTCTAAGTAAATATTCTCACTTTCACACAGGGAATGAAACCGCTCATCTTGCTGTCAGGTGGACCTTGGATTTCCTCACTTCAGGACACAGAGTCTGAAGACCAAGTCCTAATGACAACTGAGCCATTACTGAGCTGCACCCCTACCTAGGCTCAGTAATGTGCTGCAGCCTGGCCCCTACAGCCTAGCAAGATACAGTGTCTAGGGATTTTCAAAAACCAGTGTTACACTGCTGTTAATAGTCTCTTATGCCAGGGATTTAGCTCAGTGGTTCCTCTGCCTGCCTCGCAAGCGCAAGGACCTGCGTTCGATCCCTGGTACCAAAAAAAAAGAGTCTTTCATGGCAGTATTTGTACCATGAAAATCTGCAAGCCTTACATATCACGTCCTTTTACTTTAAGACCCAATGCACTGGACCAGTTTTCGTCACTACACCAAAATAGTAAAGAATAGCAACGTGAAGAAAAAGATTCCAGACATGGTGGTGCACATATCTACTCCCAGTTCCCTCTGGAGGCTGAGGCAAGGGTATAGTTACAAGCTAGTGAGTTCAAGGCCAGCCTGGACTACACAGCAAAACCCTGTCTCAAAAACAAACAGAACAAAACACACAAAAAAGGAATGGTTTAGTTTGGCTCATGGTTTCAGAGGGTTCGGTCCATGGTCCACTGGTTCCATTGCTATGGTCTGAGATAAGGAAAGACATCATGGTGGAAGAGTGTGGCAAGGAAAGCTGCTCAGCTTATGGCAGTCAAGAAGCAGAGAGGGAAAGAGCCAGAGAGAGGGGAAGGGGCTGCAGACAAGATACACCTTTCAAGGGCACCCTCCCAGTGACCTGCTTCCTCCAACTGTGCCCCACTTCCTAGTCATCCATCCAGCTGTGAACTTATCAGCAGATGAATCTGTTGATGCAGTCAGGACCCTCATAGTCTACTCACCTCTCTAGGTCCCAGCCCTGAACACTCCTACGTGAGCCTCTGGGGAATCCTTCCTATTTCAACCATGACACCCAGCCTCTCAGCACACCCCTGGGTATTCGGCCCTCAGGATAGGGAGCACTTAGCAGATCACCCAAGTCCACCTATTCATTCAGGGGTCTTCCCCAGGACAGAGGGGGCTCTCCCTCAGGGACCCTACTCCAGCTGTGCCACCCTCACCAGTATCCCACTTCTGCACGTCCCACCGGGGCCAGCAGCTGAAAAGCTGTTACAGCGTAGCCCCGGGCCTGTGGGAAGAGCCACCCTAGCTGTTTGTTCTCCCTTCTAGCCAAGGAGCCTACGCCTCACTGACTGTATCTCTTTCCTTCCCAGCACTGCCACATTCCACTTCCTACTTCCTAGTTGCATCACCCTGACAGCAGCCGAAGCCAGGAGCCCCTCAGGTAAACACATGTGCCCAGCTGGTTGTCCTGGGCAAGGAGTCACCTTAGTGAGATCCCCTAGGCTGCCCCCTGAGAGGTGACCCTAGCCAACCCTGCTAGTGGGAGGGGCAGACATGGACATAGGTCACCAGTAGTGACTTAACAGTTGCTGTGTAAATCAGGGCCCAAAGTCCCTGATAATAAAGCCTGGCACCATCTTCAGGGAGCAGCCCTGGGGGTGCCTGTCCCCGTTCCCTGGAAGCTCACTGCCTCAATACAGCTTTCAACTTTCAGCCACTTCCCCTTGAGCCCACTCCTTCATGGGGACTGAAGGCCACCCAGATGTGTCACACCACACTGCTCTTCTCCGCTTCCCCAGGGATGGCCTGTGTCCTGGGCACACACTGGACCGGAAGCCACAACTTCTTCCTCTATTCGCTGAACCGAACTCTGAAGGACAAAGCCGGTACTTTTCCCTGAGATGGGAGCTGCTTGAGCTTGGGGCTGAGAACAGGTCCTCTTGTGCTGGGCCGGGAGTCTGTGACTGAGACGAAGGAGTCACTTCCGGGGGCCAGAGCTGGGCAGACAGAAGTGGGGCTCTGCAGCTGGGGAGTGGCCTGCACAGTGTGACAGGTCAAGAGGGACAGAGCAGTGTCAGGTCCTAGGGCCCACACAGCAGGGGGGGGTGACAGGAGTGTGGGCCTCGCCCAGCAGGTGAGCGCCAGGCGCTGCCCATCCGACTGCCCATCCTGGCGTGTGGCCATGGCCTGTCACTTCCCCTTCCAGCCTGGCTTCTCGCCTGGAACCCCGAGCTTAGTAGGTAGGCCACGCTCGGCTGTGGAGAGGGCAGGGTTTCCCTGTGCAGAGCCCCTTTAGCTTGGGTGGGCACCAAGAAAATGCAGGTGCTTGGCTTTCCCTTTGTTCATTCTCTCGCCACACAGACACAGGCCTGGAGCTGTGCACTGTGACACTTTAGTCTTGTACCCCAAAAGTCGTGGTACACATTCACAAAGAAGGAATTTCCTTCCTTCCACCCCCTCCAGGCAGCCTAGCTCCTGGTCTTCATTTCCACACTGACTGGCCGTGTGGCCTTGGGCAAGTGACTTCTTGTCCTGCCTCAGTCTCCCCATCTGTAAAATGGGGTGAAGGGTACTAATAGGACTTCCTTCATAGAACCCTTTTGGAAACTAAACTAGATGGGGCCCGCAAGGCACCTGGCCTTGGATCTGTCCGGGAAGTGGTTTACTGTCCCCCCCGAGGAGGACAGGCAGCTCGCAGGGAGAGGAGCTAGTGCATGCAGACAGGGCTCCTGGCGCCCAGGCCCCGAGCGGGCAGGAGGTCATCTGGGTGCAGGCTGTGGGCAGGGCAGGGCCTGGGGTGGCCCTGTAAGTGGTGTCCTCCCCGCAGACCCTGAGGGTGTGTGGCCCTGTGCTGCACCCATCGTGGCCTCCCGGCTCTGCTGCTCCTCCTCCTACCTGGTGCTGGCCTGTGAGGATGGGGCTCTTACACTGTGGGACATGGCCAAAGGTGAGTCTCCAGTACCCTCCCCGGCCCCTGCTGGGTCTCTGCTGTGGTGTGGAGCAGGAATTCCCGACTCCTCTTCCCAAAGCCCTGCCTGTGAGCGTGGGGCTTTGGGAGCCATTAGATATAAACCATGGCAAACTGATGGAACAGGTGCTGGCGCCTGCACGGCCTTGTGCTGGGCACCGTGCCAGGTGCTGGAGCGCCACCACTGCCCTTCTGAAGTGTCTTCCAGCACAGGAGGTCCTGCCCTCCTCCACCTCAAGCTCTCGCCATAAGCAAGTTTTCTTCCTGCATCTCCCCGCTGCACTTGGTCAGTCGGTGGGCAGGAGTTGGAGGAGGAGGCACCTTGCTGGAGTCCGGCCCAGGACCAGCTTTGCAGGCGCCAGAGTCAGTGACATCTGTTTCCCCAAAATGGATCAGCCCAGCGGTGGGTCCCTCCCACCAGACCTTCAAAGAGCCTGTGAAGCTGTGGTTCGCCACCTCCCAAGCCCTTCACACAGCTTCATTTCATCTTTATGGGGAGGTGAATGTTCGCCCGCACACACATGACCTCCTCTGCTGAAATCACCCACAGCTGCACGTCTGTGCAGCTCAGCTCAGCCCGCGGTCAGCCATGGCTGGCCCAGCCTCCCTCTGCCACCTGCTGGCTCTGAGCCCTCTACAGGCCTGGTTCACCCCTCCCCAGCTCCTTCTCGGGGCTTTCTGGGCACCGAGATCCTGGCTCACTGCCAGAGGCCCCTGTTGCTTGGCTCTGTCCTCCCCCTGGTCCCTCACTACTTGCCGGTCACAGAGCCAGCACCCACAGCTGCCACCCCACCCCACCCCTTCCTGAGCAGCCGTGTGACTTCTCTCTGCAGGGTTCCCCCTAGGGGTTATCGCCCTTCCTGAAGGGTGTTTCTGCCAAAGCATTCACTTCCTGAAGTACTTCTTGGTCCACAAGGGACGGAACCTGTATCCAGAGGGTGCGGTGAGATCCCGAGTGATGTGTGTGGTGCTGTGCACCGATGCTTCCCTCCACCTGGTGACAGCCGGTGGCACACAGGGACCCACCAGCAGGGTGCTCGTGACCAGGTGGGTGGCTGGAGGGCAGATGGGGCCCCTGATCTGCCGGACAAAGGAAACTGTTCCACAGGAAAGACAGGCAGTCGTCCAACTAGTGGCCACTTTCCCTGTGGTCACCACTGCCCTACTGAGCTGCTCCCATCTCTGTCATGTGTGGTTGACGTTTTTCTGACATTGTATGATGGCATATGTGACATCTTCCGTGTACCACAGGACCAAGAAGACTCACGTCTGCCAGCATAACCTTTCCTCAGTTTCCCCAGTATTTTTAATGTTTAAAAAGACTTTATGCATGCAAATGACTCTATACCCTGTGTGTGTACGTGTGTTCCACTGAGGCTCGCTGTGTGTTCCCCAATCTCAGCCTCCCAGCTCCTCCCCCAGGGTGTTAATCATCTGTTGCTACAGAACCCGAACCCCCCAAAACTTAGTGGCCTAAGAAAGCAGTCTTTGTTGAGCCCCGATTCTACGAGCAGCTGGGCTCTCCTCTCTGACTGCAGGGCTGGGGCAGGGGGCACCTGGGCTCTGTTCCTCTGGCTTCCACCCTAGGCTTCCGGGCACTAGGGTAGGTTTGCCCTGCATCAAGGGAGGGGCAGCCCCCCCACAATGCCTTTCCAGCCTCTGCTCCTGTGACATCTACTAATGTCCCACAGGGCGACCCATACCCCACCACCATCCCCACGTTCAAGTAGTGGGAAAATGGACTCTGCGTGTAGATGGGAGTCACTGATGAATACAGTCCGTGTTTTTTAAACCTATCATACTGTTTTGCTAAACTCATCATCCCTTTGATTTCCTTTAAGAATTAACTGCGTATGTGCGACTGTATCTCTAAACAGCATATTGTTTAGCCTTGCTATTTAGGCAACTTGTAAATGAAAATGTGTTGTTTTATATATCCTCCGACTCGTCTGTCAGCTATATTTGTTGTAACTCGCGTTACAACATTGCTACAAGAGTTATAGTTGTTGGCTACTGCAGCTCAGGTCTTTCGTTTTCATGGTATCATATGTCACAACCACCTGGCATCCTCTTGCTAGGGGAGGATTTGCACTGCTAGTTTTTGCTACATATCTCCTGGTGTGCATGCCCAGAGTTTCCACAAGATGGGTCCCAAGAGAGGATGGTAAAACTTTGAAACTCTTAGTAGAGAGAATTGTGTTTGTGCCCTGCAGACCTGTGAAGCACCCGGATGAAGCCATCTGTGCAGTGGCCCCAGTCCCTGCCTTGCCTGGCATGGTAGGTACCACCCATTTCACATTCCCCTTCTGTGAATGTGTTCGTCTTTCCTTCAAAAAATACCCATGTGTTGGACTGGGGGTGTAGCTCAGTGGTAAAGTGCTTGCCCGGCACACACAAGGTGTGGAGGGACAGTCAGGCTGCTCATCGTCAGATCTCTAGGGCGTGGAGCAGGAGGGACGCGTGCGGGGGGCACAGAGAGACCAGCTGAGGAGGCTGCGTGCGCCTGCCCACCGGATGGCCCGGAGAGTGAGGCACTGATCCCTCACTGACAGTGCAGCAGCTGTGATCCCTGTGTGGCCCTGCAGAGCCGCAAGGCCTGAAGGATACAGAGGCGGCTCCAAGACAGCCCAGGGTAAAAATGTCCGTGCAGAGCTCACCAGCCGGTTAGCGAGTGGAGGGTGTCAGAGGTGGGTGCCAGGAGGTCTCCCCATTGTAAGGTGAACAGGAACGTGGGCTCACAGAGTGACTGAGAGGGACCTTAAGGAGAGCCCCAAGAGGGTCTTGCAAGCTGGGAAAGGAGGCAAGCAGGGTCCCATGTGGAAGGAAACCATATACCTCCTAGCGGCATCAAGTGTCCCAGAAGGAACAGGTGACAGGAAGTGGGAGTGGAGAAGCTGACAAGACCCACTGTGTGGGACAGGAAGTGCCATGCAGCGGGAGGGTCTCAGGACCACGAGAAGACAGAACCCAGGCAGGAGGGGCCTAGGTAAGGGACATGGGATGAGGGATGTCAGGAGCCCAGGAGCTGGGCACAAGGAGGCTGCGAGGCGAGGCCTGGGGGGAGAAGCCAGCCCTGGATCGGTCAGGAAGGTCAGCACACACCCAGGCCCCCAGTGCCTGGGAAGGTCCCATGGGGTTCCCTGCGCCTGTATTTTCTATTCAGCTGTTTCTGTCACTCCAGCTGGGATGGCCTCTGTGCTCTGCCATCCGTGGGGGACCAAGACCAGTAGGGTCCCCACTTGCCACCTCTCTGTGTCCCAGGTGCTGATCTTCACCAGGAACGGCTCTGTGAACCTCATGGACGTGGCCAAGGCTGAAGCCATCTGTGCCTTCGCTCCCCCCAGAGCCCACCACCTGGCTGTCCCCTGGAAGCCACTGTTTGTTGTATCTTTCCACCACCCTTGCTTCCTGCTCCATGGTAAGGAAGGGGAACGTGACCTGCCCAGGCTGAGGGCCTGCTGACTGTCCAGGCCTCCGTGAAGCACAGTGACCCCACCCGGCCCTCTCCCCACCATGTCCTCTCTCCTACAAGCCAGAGGATGCTGCAGCTCAGTCCCCACAGGGATCTCTGATCCAGGGCTGGCAAGGTCTTCCTGGGGTCCCCTCCGCTGGGCCAAGCCCACCCACCTCAACCCCAGTGTCCCAGCCCCCAAGACCACAGTCACTCAGGCGCTGGGGCTCTTGTTCCTCACAGGTGACCATCCAGATGAAGAGGAACCCACCAGTGATGCCAAGGACACCTGGAATTCTGTTTTCTGTTTTAATTTTGAGGCCTATCCACTCCTGGAAAATATCTCCCAAAATTGTACCATTCCCCAAGAGGACTCAACAGAGAACATGGCATTGCCACTGGAGAAAAGATGTGAGCTTGTGCTCCAGAAGAGGTAAGTATTTTGGTGTCTAACTCCTCCCAGCGCTCAAGGTTGTGTCTGGGTTGGAGACAAAGGAGTTTGTTTGCGCTGTTGTTAGGTCCCTTGGGCATTTCATCTTGCCCCTAAGCACCACACTCTGGTTCCCACACGGATGGGAAAGGGGTCAGTCATTCAGGCTGACAGGAAAGGAAGGCTTCAGCTGAATGTCTTCTCCTTGTGACCATCTTTGTTATTTTCTTGATTTCATTTTTTCAAAAGGACGTTTGGATTAGTAGGCAGGGGTTAGGACATGGGTTGGCAAACTATGATTGTATTTGACCCACTGCCCACTTTTGAAAATGAGATCATTTTGGTTTGGTTTTGGTGCTGTGGACTGAAACCACGACCTTGCACATGCTAGGCAAGTTGCTGTGCCACTGAGCTAGATCCCAGCCCCTTGTAAATAAAGTTTTATTCAAACATAATCCTGCCCCTTTGTTCACTGCTGTGTGCTACAACAGCAGAGGTGAATAGTGACAACAAAGACCCCATGACCGATACAGCTGACTTATTAATTCTCTGGCCTTCTATAGAAAAGTTTGCGCACTGCTGGTCTGAGATACTTTCCTTTACCCATCACCTGGAGCAGTGGCACACGTGCCATAGCAGGCTGTGTGTATCACTGAAGGCTCTAAAATGTTCGCCATCACTGACCTAGACAATGGTCATGCATAGACATCTCCTCTCCCTGCTCTCCCGTGCCCCCAAAGTTTGCTTGCTTTCTGCACCCCCTGCCAGGCCAGCACAATGATCGGTCCTCTGTCATCCTGGAACAGCCAGGTTTCTTCCAATCCGTGTCCCAGTGAGCTGCTGGGATAACTGGTAGGTAGGACAGAGGTCATAAATCCCTTCCCTGTTAACCCAAAATGCCTGGGGGAACCAGATGTGATGTGGAGGCGCACTTCTGTAATCCCAGAACTCCTCTGAGGCAAGAGGATTACCACGAGTTCAAGGCAGTCTGGACTCCATAGTGAGGGCAAGGCCAGCCTGGACTACACAGGGAGACAAACAAAAACAAAAATACCTGGGGGAATTCTAGACATCACCACTAAGTGGCACCAGAGCTCATTTTTGCTTCGCAGCTCGGCGTGTAACCTGTCTCCTCTCTTCCCCTTCCCTCCTCCCCTCTCCTCCTCTCCTTTCCTTTCCTTTCCTTTCGAGCGGAAGGGGTACTGCGAATGGAACCCAGGCCTTGAGTAAGCTAAGCAAGCGCTCTACCACTGAGCTGCACCCCCAGACCCCTATCTGCTACAGCTATGCCCTTCCTACGTTGTGAAAGGTGGCCTGGAGGAAGCCCTGGGGGCTGTGGAGGCGGCCGCGAAGGTGATCGTTGACTTCACCCCCTAGTAAAGCTTTTCGGACAAGGCTGGGCTATTCTTCACATGGGGACTTCCTATTCTAGCCCTTGATGATTTCCTCTTAGGAGACACAGCTGAAGAATTTAGGAAAAAGTGTCATAATGTCTACAACTTCCTTTAAAGTGGCCTGGGAAAATATTTATAGACAGACGCAGTTAAAATTTAACAGAGGGACCGCTGCCTGCCTGGAAAGCACAAAGTCCAGTTTGATCTCCATTATGAAAAAAAAAAAATTAACAGATGGAGAATTCTAGGAAAATATTTATGGAGAAAGAGAGAGAGAAAGACCTGAAGATAAAACATTAACAACTAGTGAATCTAGGTGAAGGTTCATTTCTATAGGTTTGAAATTTTTCAAAATCATGTCAGGTGTGATGGCGCATGCCTGTAATCTCAACACTTGGGAGGCTGAGGCAGGAGAATTGCTGTAAGTTCAAAGCCAGCCTGAACTACATAGCAAGCCCCTGTTTCAAAAAAACTAAATAGGGGCAATCCATTTTCCAGTCTCCCTTCTGTCTTTCTTAGACTGAAGCTAACTTTCTCAATAAATTTTTCTTACTAAAAAAAACAAAAAAACAACCCTAAATAAATAAAAGTAAAAAGATGAGGAAAGTTTTCCAAATATCATTTACAATACAATCCCAATTTTGAGTAAAAGAGAAGTGGGAAATATGTACAACAATGGGAACATTGGTTAAATTTGGGTGAGGGAAGTTTGTGTGGTGGTTTTTCCTTGTGTTTTCTCTATATGCAACTTGTAACTTTTCTACCAAAAATATGCATGGTTCTGGAGAACAGATTAATGGAAAAATAAGTCAAGGGCCTCAGGTTAGCCATGCCTCAGGAGGAGCTCTCTGGACCAGGGCCATGGCCTGGAGCTCCTGGGGCCCTCACTGGGGCCTGAGAGCTTCTGGTTGGGTGAGCTGGTTTCTGTTTCTTCTGTTCTGGTCCAAGCCCCTGCTTTCCTGGCCTAGACTGGCATTTGTCCCCCTCAGCTGAGGTGGACCTGCTGAACCCTTCTGAGCCCACAGAAAAGGTCTCCAGGGTGGAGCTACTACCTTAACAGAAGAGTGAAAATGCTGCATGCATAATTTCTGTTATCAGATATAAATACTTGAAGAGATCTGGGAAACGAGAAAATGAAAAAAGGAAACTTAACTGGTAACCCTACCATTACAAACCACCAGAAATCTGACTTTGTGTCACTCCAGGATATAATTTAATGCTTTGGGGAGGGTGTTGAGACAGGGTCTCACTATGTAGTTGAGACTGACCTGGAACTCACCATGTAGCCCAGGCTGGTCTCGAACTCAGCCATCCTCTTGCCTCAGCCTCCCGAGTGCTGAGATTACAGGTGTGCGCCACCACACCTGGCTTAATTTAATGTTTTTTTTTTTTTATTTTGAGAAAAATGTTGCTGTTGTTCATCAGCTTCCTGTCCCTCTAAGCAAAAACCTGAGATAAAAAATGTATAAACTGAGCTGGGCACATGCCTGTAATCAGCATGAGGGTGACCGCAGGACCTCCCTTCTGCCTGTGCCTCTTAAAAGTTCCCACCAACTCTCCAGAGTAGTCTGAAAACCAATGGACTTTCAGGAACCATTCAGCATCCAAACTACTGCATTTGTAAACACAGGTTTGACTTTTGGCTTTGGTGGTACCGGGGGTTGAACCCAGGACCTTCAAATTCAGCTACATCCCAGCCTCTCCCACACTTTTTTTTTTTTTTTTTTGGCTGGGGATCAAACTCAGGACCTCGCAGGGCAGACGGTGGCACCACTGAGCTAAATCCCTGGCCCCTCTCCCACCTTCTTACTTTTGAGACATATTCTCTCTGAGTTGCCCAGGCTGGGCTCAAACTTGCAATCCTCCCACCTCAGCCTCTCAGCATGCTGTGCTCCAGGGTGTGCGCCCCTGCACTCAGCGACAGTGCAGTGTTATGTACTGTATGTAACCTGCACCACTCCTCTGATTGGACTGCTCAGATAAGGCCACCTTTCTTCTCTGACACTGAGGCACATCCTGGCCCCTCACTGGGAATAGAAGTTCTCTTCCACCTCCCTGGTCCCACAGCTCAGTGCCCAGGCGCTGCCAGCCCCTCCCCGGGAAGGGTCCCTGTAGCGGGTGGGGACAGAGTGCTACCCCCTGGAAGCTTCCACGGGGAAGAGGCCGGATGGGGGCACCAGGGCAGGCTTGGGGCTCAGAGCACACAGGATAGCTGAGGGCTGGTGGGGACCTGCCTGGGGCGGAGGCCCAGCCAGTCCTCCTGCTAACCTCAGGGATCACATTTCCTTGGTCCTGAGCAGTGTTTGAATCACACTTTCTGATGTGGGTCCTAGAAATAAATCAGGAAACTGGATTCAAAGACGGCTGCTCCTGTCCTGCTTGCTCTGAGGCCCAGTGTCCAGGGCTTTCCCAAATATTCCCAACGCGCCATCACAGAGGGGTCCCACCAGGCAGCGGCACCGAGAACCGCTGCAGGGCACACAGATCTCAGCGCTGTTTGCCTCCCCACCCACCCCCGCACCCGTACCAGTCCAAAGGCGTTCATTCCCGGCTTTCATGTATTAGTTTTTTTCCTGTTTACTCCTTGTGTCTGAAAAACTTTCCAGTGGCCCTGAAACTAGGTGAAACTACGAGAGTTCATGTGGCGACAGAGTCAAAGTTCCAAACTTGCAATAATAGTCTGTCCACGCTTTCACGCCAGAACTTGTGTGAGAGCCCAGAGGTCAGATCGGGTGACCCAACAGTCCCGGTCCACCCCGCAGAGGGCAGCGAGCTCTGTGTGACGCCAGGTGACATCTTCATCGAGGAGGGGGAGCAGGCGGATGAGAGGTGTTCTCACCCCTTCCCGACCAACCTGTGGGGCTGAAACTCGGTGCCCGTCCTCACTTCCCTTTGCGGTTCCTGAGGAACAAGGGACGGAGGAGCCTTCCCCAAAGTGACCTGCAGGCGGTGGACCCCAGGCGGACTGCGCGGGGGGCCTTGCAGGGGCGCCCTCTGCCCTCTCTGGAGTGCACACCGCGTCATTGCCCCAGCGCAATAGAAAGGATTCGAAGGGTGCTGGGTCCAAAGACGTTGGGGGCCAACCCAGGGCCTCCCACAGTGTGTACCCCTTCCCACACTGGCTGTGGGAGCAGAGACACAAATCAATAGCTCCGTGTTTGTTTAACTTGGAGATTAAGGATGAAGAGTAACCTTTCAGTTACGCATTCGGTACAGTAAAACTCTCTTCAGCCCTGGGTTCTTTCTCCTGCCAAGGTTCTCCTTTTCTAAGAGTTCTTTGTCAGTGCCAATTTTTCTGGTTGGGCTTTGGATTAAAGTCATTTTGATTGCTTGTTTAGCCAAACGAAAGTGCCAAGCGTCTCGTAACTGGAACTGAGTGGCCGCCTTGTACCGGAACCGTGAGCAGCAGGCTCTGGAGACCGCCGTGGGCGGGTGGAGAGAGCTGCCTCGGGCTCCCTCCAGCGGGTGCCTGGGCCACAGCCCGCTGACCTTTGAAAACTACATTGCTGGGCACTCTGTAAAGGTCAGCGACTATTTATTGCTAGAGCCACAGAAAAAGCCCTCCTGCCCGCCAGCGTCGTGCTTCAGAAATCACCCGTGCCCTGCGTGAGCTGTTCACGCCCGCGTTTTTAGTCTCTAGTTCCGATGCCACGTTGTGCTGAGCTCTCAACCCAGCATTTCACTTCCATGTATTTAAGCAGCAGCAGCAGCAGCAGAACGCCTCCTATTATAATTAGTGAAGCTTTGTTGTGCACTTACTATGTGCCAGGTGCCTTGCTAAGTGCTTTGCAGCGTGATGATGAGGGCCAAACGGGATCCAGATTGACCTTGAACTCACTGTACTCCCGGCTGACCAGGAGCTCCCCATTCTCCTGCCTTATGCTGGGATTAGGGGCCCGCACCTTTATCATTGGCCTCGGCAGCAGCACAGCACCGTGGGAAAGCTGAGGCTCACCGGGGTCAGATTGCCCCTCCCGGGATGGCAGCTCACGGGGGAAGGGACGGGGTTGAACTGCAGCACGCTGCCATCTAGCCTGCACGTCACCCCTGCGTGCAGACCAGCTCCTCGGGTGTGCACCGCAGCCCAACATCCCAGCACCGGCCTGGACCCCCCGCGTGTCAGAAATAGTCAGCACTGCCCACGGGTGACCGGGGGTGGAATTTTTTTTTTTTTTTTTTTTTTTTTTTTGGTACCAGGTATCAAACTCAGGACCTTGTGCTTTCGAGGCAGATGGTAGAACCAGTGAGCTAAATCCCCAGACCTCTGGGGATGGATTTTAAGTGGAAAAGGGTTCACAGCCGTGTGTTGCATGCTTCCGAGTACCCTTTTTAGATGGAGTGTGTGTGCTTGGGTGGAAAAATGTTGAAGGATATGAAAGAAGCTTTTGGTTATGGTTGCTTTGGGAACAGAAAATGAGGATGTGAGATTAGGAGCTTTCATTCTCATTGTAGTAGGCCTACTCGTGTGTACTTTTAAAGAAACGACGTATAGATTACTTTTTTTTTTAAAGGATTGAACCCCAGCCTTCATACAGAACTGTATTTCCAGCCCGTTCCTCCCACCCTCTGTCATTTTTTTTTTTTCTGGTACCGGGGATCAAACTCAGTTCCTTGTACTTGTGAGACAGGCGGCAGAACCACTGAGCTAAATCCCTGCCCTCTTTTCTTTTCTTTTAAAACAGGGTCTCAGTAAGTCACTAAGTTGCCCAGTTGAGCAAGAACTTGCAATCCTCCTGTCTCAGCTTCCTAGAATACAAGGATCATAGATGTGGTGCACCGCCATGCCCAGTTTGATTTTTTTTTTCTCTTTCATTTTCTTTCTTTTTGTTTTGTTTTGTTTTTTGAGATAGGATCTCACTATGTAGTCTAGGCTGGCCTCAAATACACAATGATCTCCCTTCCTGGGCCTCTCAAGTCCTGTGATCACAGATGTGCACCACCACACGGGGCATAGATTGCTTTCTAAGTTAGAATTTTCTTGTATCCACGTAGATGTCTCGTATGCAGAGTCTCAAAAAACAAATCCAAAGCTACAATCCCTGTCTTTCAAAGTGTTTCTCTTGCTGTCTGCCCGGACCTCCCTCCATTGCCCAGGGTGGAAACCCAGACAATAGTGCACCCCAATCCTACACTCAGCGCCCCCAGAACCTCAGACCCAACTCAAGGTGCCCGTCTGCATGCACAGTGAGTTGTTCTGTGCCAAACATGTTTTTATTTGATATCTTTAAGCTCTGATTTGTAAAGGGTTAAAAGCCAACATTTCAGAAATGTGACCTGTGGTCCTTGTCCCTTGTGACTGAATTCCTTGAGGCAGAATAAGGTCCTCAAGGTCCATCCTGTGCTAGCATGTATCAGAATCTCCTTCCTTTTGAAGGCTGAGTAACATTCCATCGTGTGTGCAGACCTGCTTTTGTTTGCAAATGGGCCTTTCTTTTCAGTCCCCAACCCATCTATCCACATGTACCCCCCTAGTCCAGCCCTGGTCTGTCATTACCTCAGCAAAGGCTGACTGGGTGCCACTATACCCAGCTGGGCCCGCCCTGAGGACCCTGAGATGAAGCAGTTGTCACCTCCTAGAGCACAGGGCGGTGCCAGTTTGCACGAGGCTGGGGAGCAGGAGGTGGGGAGGCGCCTCTCACCTCTGGTTCTGTGGTCCTCAGCTTCCAGAAGCTGCAGAGACCCCAGGTGATGAAGGACCACGAGTGGACCCGGCTTCGCAGGTACTCCGTGCTGCTCCAGAGAGAGAACTTCCAGAAGTGACGCCACAAGGCCGCCTGGGGACTCCGAAGAGGCTTCTGCCTGGGCAGCCGCTGCCAGAATGGAGGACACAGCGACAGACATGCCAAGGGGCCCAGACTTGCATTCCACAGAGCCAGCAAGGGGAACAATACCTGGGGACCAGAACACTAAGCCTCTTGTCAGAGCCCTGGTTGGGCCCATGTGTTGCCTGAATAAACAGCAGTTTGTTTCCACTCCCCAAGTTGCTGTGTTGTGGACCCATCATTTCCCCAGCCCAGACCTAGCAGGGCCCAGCTGAGGCTCTCCCAGGCCTGGGAGGAACACGCACCTCAGCAGCTGGGACAGTGCTTTGCTCAAATCAGCCCGACCCTTTCCTCTCCTCTCCTCCCACTTTTCCCTCACCTTACTACTTGCTGCCCCTTACTGACCACCTCCAAGGGCTTGGGGTGTGGCTCCGAGCTGAGCATGCAAGACATCCTGGGTTCTATCCCCAGCGCCTCAAAGGAAGAAAGGAAAAAGATAATTTCTTTGAAGGCAGGACTTGACTAGTGCGATGACGGCCTGGGGCTGCCTGGGTGCTGTGGCTGGTAGGACTTAGACTGTTGCTGACGTTGACTGCTGGTCCAGGACCCTAGAGGAGACTGGGGCTCCTGGAGACCCTTAATCTCTAGAAACTACCCCTGCCAGGGAAGCTGGGCATGGTGCCACATGCCTGTAATCCCAGCACTTGGGAGACTGAGGCAGGAGGATCGCTGTGAGTTGGAGGCCAGCCTGGGCTGCACAGGGAGTTCAAGGCTGTTGTTCTGAACCATATAGCAAGACCCTGTCTGGCGGGGTGAGATCGGGGGAGCCAAAAAACCAGGAAAATTGAGCAGATGCCCCCCCAACTAAAGGGCACCTCACTTGGGACACCATGTGGTTCCCTTGAGAACAGCAGGCGGTTGTGTCTCAGCTCCTGACCTGCCCCATGCTACTCTGTGGTGGTAGTGACAGCTGCTTCTCTGTGCCTATTCTCCTCCCATCCTGGTCAAATACCATGCCCCTCGCTGGCCTGACACCTCCCTTCAGGTACCGATACTGTCCAGCTCAATGTCCCTGGATGAGACCCTTTCCCCTTGGCACTACAGGGTTGGAAACACAGGGACAGCACAGCTCTTTCCTCCATGCAGCAGGTGCCTGTCAGCCCCTTTTGCAAGATGAGGCAGGAGAGCTTAGGAAGGTGGCCTTGGCCTCACATAGTGCCCAAAGGCCACAGGCACCAACGTTCAGTGCTGCGTGTATTTTCCACCCAAGCTGTATGCAGTGGAGATGTTCTCATTATCACTGTTTTACAGAGGAAAAAGGACACACAGCTGAAACTGTGGAATTGGCTGAAACCAATCCTGATGGGCGATTTCAACAGCAGGGCAGAATCCCAGCTCCACTGCCCCACGACGGATTGGTCCCCAAGATTACCCAGTGCCCTCCCAGGAGGGACTCTGGCTGTGGCTGTGTCCAGATGTCAAGATGGAGCCCAGAGTGCCCTCATCTCTCCGCTCTGTTGGCCAGGCCCCTGTGCCCTCTCAGCTGCCAGGCAGTCATGTTCCTGAGCCCTTGCTGTGCAGGCCCATGGAAAGGGAAGGGGGGTCATGTCCCCAAACTCGAACCAACAGGGAGAACCTTCTGAGGAAAGGGCCATGTAGAATGTCAGGGGACCACTGAGCTGCAGCCACAGTGAAGATCTCTCCCAAGACCGAGCTAGGCTGAGGAAGCGGCTCTGCCCTGTCCAAGGTCTCACTGGTTCCGCAGTGTGTGGGAGCCAGAAAGGGGACTGAGGCGTCCCACAGAGCCTCATGTGCCAGATCCAGAGAAGGGTGAGAGAAGGGCCCAGGGCCTGGCAAAGCCCTCTGTAGGCTGGGGACCCCCAGGGGGAGGCAGTGGCCAGGGCTACACCACCCTTGGGACCATTGCACCTCCAAACTAAGGAAGCTCTGCCCCACCGGGGGACAGGAACCTATGCCTCTGGGGTGCCCCTCGGGAACACCAGGACCTTTAGGCCCAGCCCCACCCCAACCTGCTCCAGGGATGTTACCATCCACCCATATGGAGGCCGCTCTTCTGGCTTTGCCCCTGCATTTGCCTGGGGACAGTGCTGTGTCCTTGAACAATCTGCTTGAACAAACAGCAGCCAACTGGGCTGTACCCCTGTTAGCTCTACACAGCACACAGCTTCCCTGCTGCTGGCCAGGGCCTTAGGGACCAGGTTGCGTGCTCCCTCACGCACATGTGCACACACTTACCTGTGGCAACAAACATCCTCTGTGAAACAGCTGGCCACCTCTCCATGCTTCTGGCCCCACATCTGCAGACAGGTACAAGGACTCTGTGGCTGCAAGACTTGACAACCGGCGGCTGGTTTAGCAGCTGGAGCGCACAGCCGGCCCAGGGCCACTGCTCCTCCACTGTGGGGATCTCTGTGGACCAGGAAAGCAGGCAGCTGTGGGCCAGCAGTGACAGAGAGCTGGGTGATCCTGGCCCGGCACTGTGCCCTGTACCCAGTCACTGTTGTTCCCTCCTTCCAGTTTCAGACAGGGCTTCCTGCCCTGTGCGGCCCAGCACCCTCTGCTCTTGACCCAGCCCACATTCAGCTGAGGCAGTGTACTCAGAGGGAAGCACAAAGGTCCTGGGGTCACCTCATGCCAACTCCAGTGTTGCCACCTGGGGATTGAACTCCAAGCCTTCATATTGAGCTACATCCCCACCCCACCACACCCCTTCTAAAAAAATGAGAGAGGGTCTCACTAAATTGCCCAGGCTGGGCTTGAACTCGCAATCCTCCTGCCTCAGCCTCCCTGAGTGCTGGGACTACAGATGAGCACCACCACTTATAACCATCCTAAATATGACCCCAAAACTGGGGTACCTCGCATGTTGGCTGAGAATGGGGTGCAGCTGCTGTCATTATCACTGTGGATGGCACGCAGGGTCTCCTCCAGGGGCGGATGTGGGGGGGCAGGAAGGGGGGAAGGAGCTGGAGCAGCAGGAGGAAGGTAAACCCTTCCTCTCTCCATCCCAGTCTCCGCCGCTATTAGCAGGGATGTGTTAATGAAACTTCACACGGAGGCGCTAATACGCTCTGGCGCTGTGCAGAGGACAGGCCGCCTTAAGGAAGGGTTGCCGATGAGCCCCACTTATCTGAGAAAAGACTTGCTAATAACTTTAATTCCCCACCCTAGCTCTCCAGGCCTTTGCCATGCAAATAGACTTTGTAAACAAGGTCAGCTTCAGGGGGGTGGAAGACTTCAGGCTCTAGCCCAGAACGCCAGTTTGGGGCAGAGGTGCAGAAGGTGCGAGTGCCCTCCCCCAGTACCGGCGGGGCTTAGCTTTGGATAGCACTCTTCAGCCAAAGGCCCCCAGGGTGTGGCCTGCTCAGGCCTGGACCCCCACCCCTCTCTGCAGCACTGCTCTCCTGGCTGGCCTGAGCCCTGGAAAAGCTGAGGTGGGGTTTAAAACCAAAACGGGCTACTGAGGATTTAGCTCAGTGGTGCTGCACCTGACTTGCAAGTGCAAGGTCCTGAATTGGATCCCCAGTACCAAAAAAAAAAAAAAAAAAAAAAAAAAAAAA